GGGGGGGGGGGGGGGGGAAATGCAGGGAGGGGAGGCCCACCCATCTTCTGGTTGTCAAGGTTGAGGAACACTGGTATAAACAATCCATCGCTACATTCAAGGTCTGAGAGCAAGCACAGTATGTCCTGTGCTCGGGGCCTAAACCAGTGTTTCTAAACCTTGGGAACTTTAAGATGTGCGGTCTTTGGGGGAATTCTGGGAGTTGAAATCCACCCATCTTCCGGTTGCCAAGGTTGAAGAGCACTGTCAGAGCCAGCTGTTTGCCAGCTGAGGGAAAGAACTGGCAAGTGAACATAAGGACAAATTGGTCCTTTGTGTAGGAAAAATATTTTCAGCACAATGAAATATTTATCTTTCAGAAAGTTAGGCATGTAGCAAAGAGATGCTGGAGCAACAGTCTTATCACAAATTAACACTGATAATATCAGGCGGCTGCATTTTCATTTATTTATTTATGAAAAGACCTCTGTTCCACATAACTTCAAACAACTCAAGCCGTGTATATAATAAAGGAAGAGCTGAAATTGCCTCCCTTTCAACAGTATCTTTGGAAGTCCACTTGTCTGAGTGCAGGAGGACTTGGTTCTTAAGTAAATCTCCACAGGATTTTGCTATCCATCTAGTGTAGTCTTTCCTTCAAGGAGACATTGACAGCTGGTGGCCTGAGCCTAAAATGCTTTATGCTCAGTGCTGCAGTGAATGATCTCATCATCCACTAATGTTACATACAGTAATTGGATTCTGTTTAATGTGTATTAAATATTTGGGCTGTCAATCGCGTTACTTTCTAGCGTGCTTCCTCAGGCACTAACTTTTTTTTCCCTTTTGCCGGTCCAATCTAGGGGAAACTTGTTGGGATATGTGGCAGCGTGGGGAGTGGGAAAACCTCACTCATTTCAGCCATTTTGGGACAGGTGAGATACCGTTACTTTTTTAAAAGCATATTTTTTCTAAGCTGTTGGTTCTTATTTCCTTGCTTGTTCTTTGGCTGTGACAAAAGATGCTGGTTGACCACCTTCCCTGGATTGACTCTTCTTGTTCAGTGAAATCAGGAAGAGAGGATGCGATCAGAGTGCCTTTTGGGTCCTCAGGATTTGATAGAAAATTCTGTACAAAATCTACTTCAGATTTTTTTTAACCCTGTTTTTAAGAACCATATTAAAGTTGACAGCAAATCAGTTTGGTTTTCCTAGTGCCATTTGGCAGACATAACTAATTATATTCCGTTGTGAAATTCTCCCTCCTCCCAAGCCTTGATAGCACAAGGAAGCTACCTTCCCTTTAAATTGTAAGGACCAGATGCCAAAGTTGCTTCCAGCAACTGAGATGCAGCAGTAATGTTGTTTAAATCTCTCCCAGCTGAGTGTGCACAGCTGCACCAGTGATGTGCTGGCCAGCCTGGGAGAGGCTTCTTGCTTACTTGCAAATCATTCACTCTTACAAAGTATGGGAGCGTCATCCTGTGGCCCAGGTGACCCATTGCACTGCCTAGCCTGCATGCTGATTGGGGAGGCCTCGGTCTAGGCGGAGGAGGTACCTGGTAACACCACACCCAGAGGGTGCTTTGGCATGTGGTGCACCCCAATCTACTAGCATTTCCAAGCTTGCTCTTTGGGCTGTGACAGTGCTTTGAGGGAATGCCATCTGCAGAGAATCCAGGGGCAAGCTTTCTTTGTGATGGCCCCCTTCAATGGAACAGCCTGTCTCTGGATATCTAGTCCTCCACCATCTTATTGGGTTTCCAAAGGGCTATAAAGATGCGGTTCCACAGGAATGCATTTTAGGATGTCGTAGTTTAGTCTACCTCCAGAATTGGGGGGGGGGAGGGAAAGAAGAGTCTGAGAGGGAGGGGAGGGAATTTCTGTACAAGACTTTGGGGCAGTATCATTGATAGACCTGTTTCTGCTGTTTCAGATGACTTTATTGGAAGGCAGCATTTCCGTCGATGGGACATTTGCCTATGTGGCCCAGCAGGCCTGGATTCTCAATGCCACACTTAGAGACAACATCCTTTTTGGAAAGGAGTTTGAGGAAGAAAGGTCTGTCAGTTGGAGTTTCCTGCACTTGCTCTCTGTGATACAGGTGGGGAAAGGCTGCTGGGTGGAGGCTGTTCCTGAACTGATCTTGCAGCTGTTTTGGATGGACAGCTTGTGTCTGGTAATGAGACTGTGATTCCATGTCTATACTCCCCTTACTGTGTGAGCGTCCTGCTTTTAATCTTGGCTGGCTGGATTGAAATAGAACATTGAACCAGGCCTTGTGTAACATAGAGCCATGTTTTAGCATTAAGTATACGAGATTCAGTGAGCCTGAACTAATACTGGAGCCAAGTATCTTCCGTCCTCCTTTTCAACCAGGAGAAAATCTTTAAACCCTGATTTTCTCCAGTTCCTGGCTTATTATTTCAGTACAGTACATCATAGGAATTGTGGTTTTAACCAAACTAGAGCTGCTTACCAAACCAGAACCAATTCAGTTGTTCAACAAAATGGAGTAGGTTTTCAAACGCTATTTTTGGGCATAGATAAGAATTTGGTAGGAATCACTGAAAAACCAATGAGAATCCATGTGGTGTAGTGTTGAAGGTATTGGATTAGGAGTGAGGAGGCCCAGTTTCAAGTCCACCCTGAACTGCAGAAGCTCCCTGGGTGACTGTGGGTGAGTCATTCTTTCTCGGCCCAGCCTATCTTGCAGGATTGTTTTGGGGAAAATAGGTCTTGTACTGTCTTTAATATAAGCCCTTAAGAAATAAAAATATTAAATACTAAGTCAGATCTAATGATAGTTTGGTGTAGTAGTTAAGACACCAGGCTAGAAACCACAAGACCGTGAGCTCTAGTCCTGTCTTAGGCACAAAGCCAGCTGGGTGACCTTGGGCCAGTCCCTCCCTCTCAGCTGTAGGAAGCAGGCAGCGGCAAACCACTTCTGAAAATCTTGCCAAGAAAAACTGCAGGGAACTGTCCAGGCAGTCACCAGGAGTCAACACTGACTTGAAGACATGCACCCAAAAAATCAGAGCTAAACTTGGCAGGATTTTTCCTCCTTGGCTACATAAGGGGACGGAAGAGAAATATATGTAATGCCAAATTGTAATACAGCATTAGGTAAGAGGCAGCCTGATAACTATATCACTGAAAATGCAATTGACTTTACAAATCAGTTTTTAGCCAGTCACTGTCTTTGGTGCCCATTGTTGTGCTTGCCAGGCACATATCTATGTCAAAGCAATTATTTAATTGGCCTAACAGTCACAATTCTACCTGGGGTGAAACCAGATAAATTTCTAAATGCCCCAATGTCATAGACGTATGTCTGAGATGGATGTTCTAAATCTGCCTTTCACTCTTTGAACAGGCCCTGGGAAATGCTATGGGGGAGGAATTACTGTCCCAATTAACCTGGAAGTGTTCTGTTGTTAACTGCTTTTTAAAATATGTGTATCCATCTATACATATATATTTAGGTACAACATGGTGTTGAATGATTGCTGTCTCCGGCCTGATCTGGCTATCCTGCCAAACGGGGATCTGACTGAGGTAAGAATCTTGCTTGACAGTATCAGCCCACAATTCTAGGAGGCCCATCTGTGGAAGGAAAACATGTGACACACTTGGGCATTGATGAACAGCTTTGCTTGTTAACTTCATTACATCTTTAATTGCTCTGAATATGTAATAAGACTCTAAAATATAGGAGCTGTTTACCTTGCCATGTCATTAATGATTTCATGGTTAATTAACAAAATAACAATCAGGGCAAGTACATCTGTGTTGTACTTCAAGGAGAGAACTCTCAGACTAGTGTTGTGCCCACCGTTGTGTTCCTCTCTGCACAAAAGGTAGGTGCCTTTAGTGAGTGGTGAGTTTAGTAAGGTATTTGTTGTTAAAGGAAAGGTTGCTTGCTTGTGATGGAATGGAATTATGAAGGCTAAGCTCAGGGAGATAAATATTTTCTTAGCTCACCAGAACCACATGGGAGGAACAAGAGGATGAGACTGGCACCTCCCTAAGGAATTCACACTGTTGTGGCTGGAGGACTTTGCCCCCCCCCCCCCCCGTCTGGGAAGATTCTTGCTACAGGTTGTAGCTAATAAACATAGCTGGACTGAATCTGCATGGTCTCTTGGAGTTTCTTGGGCTAGGCCTGACAACAATCTTCCCAGACTAAAACCGCAGTTCCCAAAGTCCTCCAGCCACAACAGTGTGAATTCCTTAGGGAGGTGCCAGTCTCATCCTCTTGTTCCTCCCACGGGGCTCTGGCGAGCTAAGAATATGTTTATCTCCCTGAGCTTGGCCTTCATAATTCCATTCCATCACATTGCTGGAAGGAACGGGTTCTACTTCTTGTTTCAAATTAAGTTCAATTGATGGGAATATTGTATAGGGCTTTTTGAATGGCACCCGCTAGATTGAACAATTTCCTCCCAAAGAAGCAAGGGCTAACTCCAACTTTGTAGGTGTTTAGGTAGTAAAAAAATTTCTTCTTTAAATGTGTTTGAAATGTTTATTTTACCCCGTTCAGCTTTTTAGGACGATGGTTTTCATTTCATTGTTAATTTCTTAGGGTCAGAAGGTAGTTGAAGAGACTTTCCAATAATTGATTAAACGCAAGTGAGTGTTGCTTGGATGTACTCTCTGCTTCTCATCTCAATTTAATTGCAAAATCATGTAACTGTATTGAAATCAGTGGATGCCCGTCCACTGATTATTGTTGCTGTTCTTTTAAATGGGTATCTGCTGTTTCAGTTAATTATATTTTACGTTTCTGTTGTTTTTAAATTTTATGTTAAGAAGCTTTGTCTCAAAATCCTTTAAATACACATTCTTTAAATAAATAACAGGATGGATACATTTCAATAGGCTACACTACTAGGTAGTTTGACCCTGTACGGAACTGAGTTTTGAATCTTTGCTTTCAAATTCAGTAAATGGTTTCAGGTTAGGCCTGAGTTATTTGAATCCTGTTCTATTTGAACGCTGCTTTGAATCTTTGGACAAATGGCAGTATTGATAAGTAAGGAATAAAAAAGGTCTGCTGTGCCTTAAGTGATGCCCAAACAAATATTTTAACAAGGCATGTTTTATTCAGATTGGTGAGCGGGGTGCAAACTTGAGTGGGGGACAGCGCCAGCGGATCAGCCTTGCCCGTGCACTGTACAGCGACAAGAGCATTTTCATCCTTGATGACCCCCTCAGTGCCTTGGATGCCCACGTTGGAAACCACATCTTCAACAGTGCAATCCGGAAGCACCTAAAGTCCAAAACAGTTATTTTTATTACACACCAGCTCCAGGTACCCTGACAATGTCTGCTGCTGCCCTGTTCTGCTCAGGATTTTATTGGCTGAAAAATGTGGGTGATTGGGACTTCTGCTGTCCAGAGTAACTCTTAATTTGGCATGGTGAATGGGTGGCCATACTGAATGAATGAATAAATGAATGATCAGTCCACCTCACCATGAACGTTCTTCTTCTTTTAATTGGGCTTCAGTACCAGTATAATTGGGTTGCTGCTTTACAGAGAAAATAACTGCAGAGGATTATGACGTAAGTGTATTTGAGAGTTGAAAGCAGCAAAGAGTGAGAAGGAAAAGCAAATAATCTGTTTACTGATATAAAAATGTATATTCTGTACTTTTGGTGCATATGGACTGCTTATATCCGAAGTTATCATAGGGTGGAAAGGTGGGAAGAATTTTTCGATATGATAAGAGGCTATAGGAGTGGGTGCTTCCAAGTTTAGAAAAATCTCGTGGCTTACTTAACATGAGCATGAAGTGCTCTGCTGAAGAGACAGAAAGCTGGCTCAAGATGAAGAGATGAAAATATTTCTTTTGTACATAATCCAATGTGTTATTCATCTCTTCTGCCTTGCAGGACTGTGATAGTGACTAGTATAAGAAAAATGAAAATGGGTGGGATTTAGGAAGAGTAAATCCCGTGGCGCATGGGAGTTGCATGGTGAATGGGTGGCCATACTGAATGAATGAATAAATGAATGATCAGTCCACCTCACCATGAACATTCTTCTTCTTTTAATTGGGCTTCAGTACCTTGTGGATTGCGATGAAGTGATTTTCATGAAAGAAGGTTGTATCACAGAGAGAGGAAGCCATGAAGACTTGATGAATCTGAATGGTGACTATGCAGCCATTTTCAATAGCTTGCAGCTGGGAGAAACACCACACATTGAGGTATTTATTTCTGTGCTAGGATTCTTGCCCTAAGCAAAAATAAAGTCATATGTACATTATCCTAAAGCCCAATAATGTATTATTACAACCATTCCTGTAATAGCAAAATTACCATATCAGCTTGTAATGTGTCTTCTGGACCAACCAGGTTTCCACATGCTTGTGAAAATCTGACAAGAAGAAGGCTGGGTAAGCTTCTGACTTCTGGGAATCACCAGCCAGCGCTGCTAATATTTTTATCTTGCTTTTGGCCCTTCACTTGGCTCTCACAGTTGTGCATATAAAAGAACAAAGATATGATAAACAACCGTTCAAATAAAACAAAACATAATCCATGTTTTTACTCAGTGGCTGGCAGAAAGAGAGGGAGGTTTCTACTGAAGCCAGTCTTGAAAATGGCAGTCCTAGTATATGGGACATCCATTTATGAAGTCTTTAGCCATGACCTCCCCCCCAGGCAATATGCTTATGAAGTTTTCCTTGCAAAGCTGAGGTAGGCTGAATCTCAGTTACCTCCTCTCCCTTTTGCAGATTAACTTAAAGAAGAATGCAAATAGCTCATTGAAAAGACACCCGGAGAAAGGCACCAAAACAGGATCTGTGAAGAAAGAGAAAGTAGTCAAGAAGGAAGAAGGTACAGGTTGTCACCCAAAAATACAAATTTAATTTCTACCCACCTTGTGTGTATGCAAGTATTCTGTTACAATTCAGTAGGTTCCAGATGATTTTAGTGGATCTGAGCTCAGATTAGGTCTTGCCTTTTCTTCACCCTCAAAGACTAGTGCTAATTTTGAAGCAGTATGCTTCCTTGAGAGTAGTTTTTCATCTACAAGATGAGCAAAGGATTCCAAGCAAGAACTTAGAGTAATTTAAGTCATGATTTCCCAAGTGTGGGAAAATTTAACCAAAGTTTAGTTCTAGCCTATTAGGAGATTTTGGTTTGCTACATTTGTATACTCTCCATGTATATAAACATTTTCAGAGAACTTTGTATAAGAATTGCTTAGCAGTACATCTAGTATAGATTGCATTTGTTGAATTCTGTCTGCTTATCCTCCTCCTCTGTCCATATGTGTCCTTTAGTTCAGCTCATGCAGTTGGAAGAGAAGGGCAAAGGTTCTGTCCCCTGGTCGGTTTATGGGGTCTACATCCAAGCAGCTGGAGGCCCAGTTGCCTTTCTGATCATCATGGCACTCTTTATATTGAATGTGGGCAGTACTGCCTTCAGCAACTGGTGGCTGAGCTACTGGATCAAACAAGGCAGTGGGGTAAGAGTAACAGTATCTTTGAATTGCTGTTGGATTAAGAGAAGTCCCAAGATCACTCTTCTGTTGGCAAATAAGTAAGGAAACAATATTGTTGTCATGTGCGTTAACTGATATTGAACAAACGGTGTGGCATTAGCAGTACGCTGGAGCTAGTATCCTGGTTCACAGAACCAGTGCACGGCACCAGGACAAAGCAGCCTATAAGCGAACGCTTTAAAGATTTCTCTTTGTAGGATCTGTGGTCCAAAAAGGAAGACTTCCCAAGAAAACTGGGAGAACTGCATGATAGACACAGCAGACTTTATTGTCTAGTTAAATCTTTCCTGACTGAACAGGCAAAGCCCAGTAGTAGATGTTTCCCAGTCATTTTTCTCATGCTTTTTAAAAATTCAGAATCTTTGAGAAACCTTTTCTTACTAATTTGTTTAGACTGCTTTGAAAATCATTAAACACCTGAGGTGGAAGCCACACATCCTTTTTATAGCCTTGGTAATGGACTGCCTCCTCAGTTTGAAGGTGGTGTCAGCAGCAAGGCCGTCTATACGTTGCCTATAGAATATGCTGGCATCATGTGCTATAGTCACATTGACATGGAGACAATTAGTGCATGCCATGCTGTGTGCATGAACAGTCATGTTCATTTTGTGCACAGTGCAATATGCTCTGAGACTCTGCTTTTATCTGTCTTCACAACATGATGGTACATCATCACCACCACGTCTTCATTCTAACTGAACAAATGAACATGAACACATGTCAGTAAATGTTAGGTTGCATAGTAATATTACATACAGTGGGGCAAAAAAGTATTTAGTCAGCCACCAATTATGCAAGTTCTAATTGTGCAAGTTCTCCCACTTAAAAAGATGAGAGAGGCCTGTAATTTCCATCATAGGTATACCTCAACTATGAGAGACAAATTGTGCAAGTTCTCCCACTTAAAAAGATGAGAGAGGCCTGTAATTTCCATCATAGGTATACCTCAACTATGAGAGACAAATTGTGCAAGTTCTCCCACTTAAAAAGATGAGAGAGGCCTGTAATTTCCATCATAGGTATACCTCAACTATGAGAGACAAATTGTGCAAGTTCTCCCACTTAAAAAGATGAGAGAGGCCTGTAATTTCCATCATAGGTATACCTCAACTATGAGAGACAAATTGTGCAAGTTCTCCCACTTAAAAAGATGAGAGAGGCCTGTAATTTCCATCATAGGTATACCTCAACTATGAGAGACAAATTGTGCAAGTTCTCCCACTTAAAAAGATGAGAGAGGCCTGTAATTTCCATCATAGGTATACCTCAACTATGAGAGACAAATTGTGCAAGTTCTCCCACTTAAAAAGATGAGAGAGGCCTGTAATTTCCATCATAGGTATACCTCAACTATGAGAGACAAATTGTGCAAGTTCTCCCACTTAAAAAGATGAGAGAGGCCTGTAATTTCCATCATAGGTATACCTCAACTATGAGAGACAAATTGTGCAAGTTCTCCCACTTAAAAAGATGAGAGAGGCCTGTAATTTCCATCATAGGTATACCTCAACTATGAGAGACAAGTGAACACCTCCTTCCATCAGCAAGGGCATTGAAGATGAAACGTGGCTGGGTCTTTCAGCATGACAATGATGAGAACTTGCATAATTGGTGGCTGACTAAATACTTTTTTGCCCCACTGTAAGTTTAGCAAAATCTCCTGCCAGTCAGCATGGCATTAATACTTTGCATTTATACAATGTTCTGAACATTCAGATTATCTTTTTGTTGTAATATTTGCATCAACCCTGTAAGATAGGTCAATATTATAGTCAAATAAACACCTAACTTATTTAAATTGGGAAGATTAATACACGGTTGATTGGGAAAATTTTTAGTTAAGCTGATAGTGATCATGTGCATAATTAGTTTGGAGATCCAGTAATCAAAATGTTAATAACTATCTCTGGGGAAGCTTTAATACTGGAGTGGTACCAGGTTTCTGAGAGACAACTATGTTGGTCCTGTATTTAGAAAGAGTTAAGGAAAAGGATGGAGAATGCTGTAGGTTCTAATAACACAGAATGTTCTCAAGTTAAAACTTGAGATTTGACTGATCTTAATATCTTTGACTGATATTGCCAGTCAAAATATGTTAGAATCAAGTGGGTTTTATAGTAGTGGAATAATTAAAAATAAAATGAAACTAAGGAGTCTATTCTGATTTGGTGGTTTGGCTTAAATAAATGTCCTGAAGTAGTCAAGAGCCTCTGACTATTAAATTGAAACTGTTGCTCTCGTTTAAAACACGGTTTATTCTAGAAGGGCAAGTTTGAGTGGAGTTCCATAGTGTGAGGAATATCAGTAGTAGTCATCTTCAACCTTAATTCTTCTAAGTATTCAGGCAAAATCATGGACAAGATATTATGTGCAGATTTCTTAGCCACATCTGTGAAATGGGCCAGTGTGTATCCTATTTCTGTCTTAACCACAAAATTGGTCTTTGTTTTTTTTTAAAAAAACACAGAACACTACTTTGATGTTGGGGAATGAAACCATGGTGAGCAACAGTATGAAGGATAACCCTCATATGCGTTACTATGCTGGCATTTATGCACTCTCAATGGGCATCATGCTGATTCTGAAGGCTGTTCGTGGGGTTGTCTTTGTCAAGGTAGGTATTTGTGCGGGGAGGAGAGAACAAAATAATTCCTCTCTCTTATCTTGCTGTTCCAGACAGTAGATTGTTTCAGTGAAAGCAGCTGCCTTCATTTCCTGATTTCTCCTTCCATAACTTGGTGTCATCTCAGAAATATGTTGGAAGATTTTCGTAGCATATTTCTTTTCACCCTCTTTCTCTTGGTGGCTTCTCTTGCATAGCAAGGGAGGAAGGATACTTCCTGAGGACTGCAGTCCCTTCTGATTTGTGAACTTCCTTTTAAAACTCCTAAATGCCTAGTTCCAACAGTCCTCTGTTACGGCCACTACAGGGGACGTTACGAGCCTCATCCAGGCTGCATGATGAGCTCTTCCGGCGGATTCTTCGTAGCCCAATGAAATTTTTTGACACCACACCTACAGGACGGATTCTCAATAGATTCTCCAAAGATATGGATGAAGGTAATACACTCTCATTTAGTAATCTGTTTGTGCTAATACAGTCTGGAATCTCCAGAGAAAATGACCAGCATGAGCAACCCCAGACTGCAGAACTCCATGCTAAACAAGTATCTGCTTTTTAGCCTCTTCAGTTTCTTTGAGTTTATTGGGTTCTTCCTACAGACATTTCACAGTAGGAAGAGAAGAAAACTTAGATAACACCAGGAGCAACTGAACCCTGAGCTACATTATTCTTTACTATAGCATCCTTTTGATTTGTCTGAATGTTATGGAAACTACAAAAACCTGTTTATAAAATGGGCTCTTCCAAGTCTTTTGCTAACTCTGATAGTGAAATTAGCAAGCCCGGGAAAAGATACGAATTGCTCAGAAGCAGAAGGTTGATATTGTGTATCACAGCAGTTCTTGTGATGTCTACCAGAAGTTCAGGGTGAGCATTTCTTGTAATCGAGCTTGCCATCTAGGGTTTTCAGGTGTAATCTGGTATATACAGTGGGGCAAAAAAGTATTTAGTCAGCCACCAATTGTGCAAGTTCTCCCAC